CACATGTCCTAATTAAACTCAATTCATCTCCTAAGCAGCAGTTTCACACTTGATATCCAGAGGCAAAATTATGCGGGGGGGTGTTAAGTACGTAAATAAACTGAGAGTGTTTGTTGTTCTGCTTTTGCAGCAAGAAGATATTTTGGTAACTGTTTATTATGAATCAACACATCATAGGGGAGCAAAACTGCAACATCAGGGCTGAACGGAGCAAATAGGATGTTTGAGGACAGCAAGCAGGAGGACATAAACATAACTTTAGAGAGAGCTTCTCTTCATTTTGCCCACATTTCCAAGGTCCTTTCCCTCCCTCTTCCACCCTCCTCCCTCTTGTACAAACAATGATATTTTTGTGCTCCGTGTAACAAAATTCAAAGCCGTGATATGAACAATTCCCTGCAAGTCCGTTGTTCCCTGCTCCCTTAGCGAAAAGACGGTCAGCCGGGAGCGAAACGCGGCCCGGGAACGCAGCCCCAGGCTCGCAGACCCCCTGCGAAGGAGAGCGCAGCAACCCAGCCTTCCTGCACCCGCGACCACGGTGCACGCTTCGGTGGAGACCCTCCCGCATTCCCCTGCCACGGCAAGAGCCTCCTTGTGCCCAGATTCAAAGCCCTTTGCGCCGGCAGAGTAGCACAGAGAGCCTCTGCGGAACCAGGTTTTCAGATTACAGCTCTACAAAGCAAAAGGTGGAGACTTTGGGCCGGTTTGTGTAGCACGGAGGCATCCTGGAGCATGGCAGGGGCTGTTGGAAATACCGTGCCGCACCTCCAAACGTACAGCACCGAGCGCCAGGACCGAAGTCGCTTGGCGATGCTCACAGCAGGAAAATCACATCCTGACACGGACTCTTCAGAGCTACCGCAAGAAGGTACTACGGAAGCGATCGCCGTAGTTTTGTAACAGTATAATCTAAATATTTCTGGTTCCATCTTTCCTGCTCAGGGCCAGGTGGTTGCTCCCAACTCTGAGCCACAGGTTGCTTTTTCCTGCCGTGTTATTTATTAGGTACTTTTGGTACAACCTGCAACCACAATAAAAAATACATCGCTACTGAAAATACAAACTGGGAAGACAAATCATCCCAGAATACAGTCTACACAAAGGTTGTTAAACTATGGACTGAGTTAATTAGCAGCTAATAAAAGACTAAATTCTTCCATTAGCTATTCCGGTATGCGAGATCCACTGATTTCACCGGGGCCGTTCACGTCTGTGGGCACAAGGCCATATTTACTGTGGTAACCATGAATGCAAATCACAGGACAATCAGGGCTCGCCGCAGCTGGGGTGGGGACGGGGACGGGGACGGGGACAGGGATAGGGACAGGGATGGGGAGCTGCACAGCCATACAGGCAACTTCACGTGCCACACCGGTGCAAGCGCGGCTCAGGGAGGCCACAACCGCCTCCATCCCTCCCCGCCGCCTTCCCCAGCGCAGTAAATCCAGCGTGAGCAATGTCCGGGGGTCAGTTCCACCGCTGGGAGTGTGACTGCCTGTTTCAAGCACGGAAATTGGAGCTGGACTCCCTCCTATCTCCCTTCCTTCCTTATAAATTGTTGATGTTTCCAGATCTGAATGACTGGTCACATCCTTTACAAACGTGAGTCACTGTCGTACTCCTGCCTGCAGGCTTGTTCAACCAGCTACGCCCCTTGTGTTTTCCAAAACAGCCCGAGGATTTCAGCTTGAGCTAAATTCCTCCTCCCTGGGACGGGTGTGCAGGTGCTTTACCTGGTGCAGCTACGAGGCGACTTCCCTGGCACGAGGCACAACCACAACGGCCAGGGATGTTCGTCTGCATGGCATGAGAGCCCAGCTCTGCCGGGTGAGCGGTGCCAAGGGCCATCAGCGCCCGTGGAAAGCCAGGCCATCGCCTGGAGGGCTCCCAGGTGGCTGAAGACCCTCCTCGGCCACCATCAGGGCTGCTCGGCCATCACATTTCCTCATCTTTGCGGTTCCTGTGCGAAAGAGATGGCCCCTTCCAGCAAGGAGCCCTGCACGCTCCCCCCAGGACGAGCACAGACTTAGAAGTGCCACGGAGATTTATGATGTCAAACGCTTTTTACATTTTTTTCAAAGCCCCTTTTACACTGCCTGGATAAATCAATTACCTGCGGATGGGGGAGTGGGAAGGGCTGTTTATTGGGAAGCACCGAACAAGAGTTTGTTGGGATCAGAAGAAACCAGTAGGATTGACCCACTGCCCTTTCCTTTGATCTCTGCAAGACGTGCCCGGGGAAGGCACGCCGGAGCCGGAACAATAACGCAGAGCGTGCCGGCAGCATCAGCCCGACTGCCGCCCAGGCAGCCGCTCCTCCGACGGCGGCGTCTCCTCTGCGCGCTGCCGGCACCCAGGCCACGCTCCGCCAGCCAGGGCTCGCCGCTGGCAACGTGCGACTGGGTGAAAACAAGTCTTATGTCATCAGACCGCACCGTGGGTACGCATTGTGTTGTGAAGATGGCAGGCGGCTGCTTTAGTAAAGGCAACTTAGGTGACAGCCGAAAGCCTGCCGGTGGCGAACTTTCGGGTTTAAAAATTGTATGGTTTAAAAATTCGTAGGTGACAACGGGGAATCTTACACCAGTGACTTGGCATACGGCTGCGGGAAGTGTGTAGCTAAGGCATGATATAGGCTCTTAAATGGGATTTCAGTGGGCGTGAGGCATCTTCTCCATCCACTTTTAAAATTCCCACGAGGCACCTAACGATAAGTCTTTTGGCACGTAAATCCCTTGATAAAACCCCAAACACGATCCCGAGACAAATGGTACTCAGAGTATCAGAGATCTGAGTTAGACTGGTGAAAACAGCCCATCACTGCGAGTGCCGGGCTGTCCCGGCAGCCCTGCAAGGAGGCCATTTGGGAAGGGAGCGGGCCCTGAGCAGCACGAGCCTTGATTCAAAGGGCATGACAAAGCTGTCCCGCTGCTACCAGCGTCGTGCCATCTGGCATTGGCCTGCAGCCACCTCTGGGGCGCTCCGTAGGACCTGGCCACTGAAAACAGGACGTGAGGAATAGCAAGTCCGGCTGGGAGGCAAAATGTTATTAAATAAATTGGCACACTCCATCGTGCAGTAAGAGACCCTGCAGACTGCACCGGGGGCTTTAGACAGTCAACTTCTGCTGCAGCGAGCGTGACTCATCTCCGTCCCTCTGCCGCTTCGCCAGCTTCGCCCAGGTGCCGCAACCCAGCTGCCCGGGGCAGGTGCCACCGTCGGGCCTCTGCAGCCCTCGCCGGCCACGCGCCGTCGCTGTGGCTCTTCCCGCTCCCGCCGTACCCGCCTAACCCAGGGCCTCTCAAGCAGCACGGAGCAGCACCCGACACCGCTGAATTTACTGAAGAGAATAAGGGAAGCAATACTAAAGCATTTAGCCACTTCCTAACTCCACACTGTAATTGTCCAAAAACCAATTATCCTCATGGTATAAAAGGGGAAACTGAGGCACAAAGATGGCAACTCCCAGTTCTGGGCCGCACGGAGTACGGGGCTGCACAGGCACAGAGGGAAAAGGCAATCCCTGCTCTGAGCATCCTAGAGGGTGGGTTTGGTTTAGACAGTAACTTGTTGCACTGTTCCAGGTATTCAGCTCACGACACAAACGGGAGAGCGCTACAGAAATGCCAGCACTTGAAAAAGAAAAGATACAAACCCGCCAGCCCCTCACTCACAAAAGCTCTGAAAATACTCTCCAATCCAAGCGCTCAACCGCTGCTTCTGCTTCCAGCGTATAACATTTTAAAAGATGTTAGCAGCACAAGTACATCATCGGTATTCTCGACGCGCTAATTCCGAAGTACTTGGGTTAAAATACGGGCTACAATCGGTGGCGTGGGTGTGTGCCAGCCTGCGGATGGGGTGGAGGGCTTTCACTGTAAGGCATACAACCGATCAATTGATCAATGACTGATGGATCTCCTTCTTTATCTGTCTAGTTCTGAACAGAACTATTCCCTCCTTTCTCTGTTTTTCTCTCTTTTTTACACATCTCTCACATAAACCTGGTCTACGACCTCAGTCCCACACTCGGATAGTTCTGCGCTTGCAGGACATACAGGAGGGAGACCAAATAAGCAGAAAAAGGGTATTTTTTAAGAAGCCAAGCATCTCCTCGCTTTTGGGAAGCTGTGCTCTGAATCTCACTGTCTTTTTGCAGCGTAAGTCCCTGCTGCCAGATGCGCGGTGCTAGGAAGCGACCCCTTCTCCCCTGGCCCCCTCCCCAGGGAATCTCCTCTCTGCAGAGCGCTTTTGTTTATAACTTCTCAACACTCAGCCACTTTCTTGGCAGAAAACCCTCCTGGTGCCACCTGGCTGCTCTTCCGT